CACCCTGCGGCGTCACACACACACACACCCTGCGGCGTCACACACACGCACCCCGACCGGTGCAGGAGAAAGCCTGCGGAAGCCAAGCCCGGGCAGCCCCTGGAGGCCTCCTTGTGTGTAACGCGCGGCCAGAGGAGCCGAGGGCAGGTGGGTGCCCTGCCCCCCACACCCTGCCCTGCCCGGCGCTGCCCTCTGGGCCGTGGAAAAAGCCTCTTTTCTTTGCCTAGTGAAAGTCCGCGCAGCCCCAGGCCTGGCGCACGGGCAGGGAGGAAGCAGGGGAGGCCTCGGGCCTCACAGCCCCGGCTTCTCCGCACAGGGCCCGGGGACGCCTCGGCGCTGACCCGGGCAGAGGCCGGCCCGCCCCTCCCAGCAGGCCCCCCCACAGTGCGGCACCCAGAAAGGAGCCGGCAGGGACGGGCGCGCGAGAAGGAGGCCTCGCCGCCCTGCCCCTTCTCCGGACCGCACGCTCGGCAAGAAAACGGGGCAGGCAGGCGGGGCTGGGGGCGCGGATGGGGCCGGGACACTCGGGGTGCGTGGGGCCGGCCCCGCGCGTGACCGCGGCAGCGGCGTCGCCCCGGCAGCTGCGCCCCGAGAGCCTGGGAGCGCCCGCGCGTGCGGGTGGACGGCGCCCCGGCTGCTCCCCGGAAGCCCGGCCGTGGGTCCCACCTGCTGCCGGGAGAAGCCGCCCCAGGGCCGCGCCTCGGGGGGCGGGTCTCCCCCACCCACCCCTTCCGCAGCGGGGAAACTGAGGCCCGGAGCAGCCGGGAGGTGGCACCGCCGCGCGGGGGTCCTGGGCCGCCCGGAAAGCCCGCGCACGGCGGGTGCGGACCCGGGTGTGGACCCCGGCGCAGCCGCGGGGCCCGGGGGGCGGCCGAGGTCTCCAGGCCCCGCGTCCCGCCCGCCCCGCGCCGCTCACCTGACCGCCGCCGCCGCCGCCGCGCGTCCGCCCGGCTCCCGCGCCCGGCCCCGCCCGGCCCCGCCGCGCCGTCTACACCGCGCGCTGCTGCCGCCTCCGGCGCGGAGGCTCATGGCACGCGGGCCCCGGGACGGCCGCGCCCCGCGGCCTGGCGGACATCCGAGCTTCCACGCGCCCCCGTTCTCGTGTTCCGCGTCATGTCTGAGTCGCGGCCCCGCTCTGCGGCCTCCGCCTCCGGGTTCCGGCGCGTCTCCTGCCTCGGCCTCCCGAGCGGCCGGGACGACGGGCGCCCCACGCCCGGCCGCGTTCTGCGGTCTCGGTGGAGACGGGTTTCGCCGTGTTGGCCAGGCTGGTCTCGATCTCTTGACCTCCCGGTCCGCCCGCCTCGGCCCTGCACGGTGCTGGGATCACAGGCGGGGCCCCCGCGCCCGGCCACACGCGCTTTTTAAAAAACGGGTGGCTTAAAGGCCAGGCGCGGTGGCTCACGCCTGTGATCCCAGCACTTTGGGAGGCCGAGGCGGGTGGATCACGAGGTCAAGAGATCGAGACCATCCTGGTCAACATGGTGAAACCCCGTCTCTACTAAAGCTACAAAAAATTAGCTGGGCATGGTGGCGCGTGCCTGTAATCCCAGCTACTCAGGAGGCTGAGGCAGGAGAATTGCCTGAACCCGGGAGGCGGAGGTTGCGGTGAGCCGAGATCGCGCCATTGCACTCCAGCCTGGGTAACAAGAGTGAAACTCTGTCTCAAAAAAAGAAAAGAAAATAGTATCTTGTGATAAGTGAAAATTATATGAAATTCTAATTTCAGCGTCAATAATACTTTTAACTGGAAAACATCTAGGCTCATTTAAGTGTGGCCCACAGTTCCTTCCATGATATCACAGCAGAGCTGAACAGCTATCGGACAACATGTGGCCCACAGGTCTAACATATCTACTATCTGGCCCTTTACAGAAAAACGGAGACCGATTTCTAAAGACAAGTCTGCTTATTAAAAGAGCTACAATGGGCCGGGCGCGGTGGCTCAAGCCTGTAATCCCAGCACTTTGGGAGGCCGAGGCGGGTGGATCACGAGGTCAAGAGATCGAGACCATCCTGGTCAGCATGGTGAAACCCCGTCTCTACTAAAAATACAAAAAA